GAAAAGGCCTATATTAGGAAAATCTTACAGGTGTATGATTTTCTTGTCAGTTTTACTACTGTTGCACTTGCAGTTCTTCAATGATGATGTTTCCCTGCTCTGGGTTAATATTCTCAGTTGGTGTTGTGTTGTCTTGTGCACGATTGTGGTTATGGTGCATGTATAATTAACCGGTGTTGCTGGTCCAATATTTTTTATTTTTATTTTTTATCCACTAAGTTTTCTTTTCTTTTTCTTGTTGCCCAAGCAATGGTTTGTTCTGCACTTGATATTTGGTTTTGTTGCCTCAGGTTTGGGACAATGGTAGCTTGTTTTCGATATGCTCCTATTGATGTTTATTCTGTATTTCTCCCACCTCCAAAGCTTGAATTTAGCCATGATAATCACGAGTGGATTCAGAAAGAAGGTGATGAGGTACAGTTGGACTGAATTCTTGCTTCAATTTGTTACCTCTATGTTTCGTTTTTTTTTTCTTTTTTTCTTCTGATGTACTTATTTTCTCCAAGAGAAGGTGCACAGAAGGGCTAATGCTTTGTTTGCTGAGGTGTCCAAAGCTCTTCATGCAAAGTTGGAAAAATTTTCTGTTGATAGTAGCTTGAAAGCACCGAATATAAGTGAGCAGATTGCAGAGATGGAAGAAATATTAGAGAAGGAGAAAACTGTGTTTGAGGTGATTCTTTTATTTTCCCCTCCTGTTGTTTAGATACTAACTTGTGTCATCTGCATTGTCGGTGAGGTATAAACAAATTTGTCAGTATGGCTGAGCGAGAAGATAGATATGGTTACCTTTTTGATGTTCAACTGTTTCTAAAGATGACAGCCCAAGTAATTTCTCTCTGTATGGTGTGGATAACATGTCTCAAACCTTTGACATTTTAGGACTGAGAATTTTGGTGAAGTATGTGTTTAAAATTCAGAGGTGCGTTCTCTCACTCTAAGATATGTGAAAATTAATGCAGCAACGAATTGGAGAAGAAAGAAATAATCAGGGTTCTCTAATAAGAAGTAGCAGTAGAAAAAGAATATGAGAGGAGCTAACCCTTAGTGTAGCAACTAGAAAAAAGTTTTTCCAGCCCGATTAGAGGAGGAAAAAAGAAAAAGACGTGTCTTCCCTAAGCAAGACGGTAAAAAAACAAGAAAGACTTAAGAGTACATAAGACCTGTCATGGGCGGCTTTCCAACCATGCCCCATGACCCCTTGGATGCGCCCCGTGGCGTCCTGGC